ATGACTAACTGACTAACTGACTGACTTACTAACTAACCGAATGACTTACTGGCTAAATAACTAATTATTTGGATGACTGACTGACTGACTAACTAATCGAATGACTTACTGGCTAAATAACTAATTATTTGGATGACTGACTGACTGACTAACTAATCGAATGACTTACTGGCTAAATAACTAATTGTTTGGATGACTGACTGACTTACTAACTAATCGAATGACTTAATGGCTAAATAACTAATTATTTGGATGACTGACTGACTCACTAACTTACTGACTGACTGACAAACTAATCTAATTACTTACTGACTATCTAACGGACTGACTGGCTAACTGACTGAATGACTGACTAACTAAATAATCGAATGACGTACTGGCAAACTGACTAATTGTTTGGATGACTGACTGACTGACTGATTGACCAACTAATCGAATGACTTAGTGGCTAAATGACTTATTGTTTGGAAGACTGACTGACTTACTAAATAACTGACTGACTTACTAACTGAATGTCTAACTGACTACTAAGTAATCGAATGACGTACTGGCAAACAGACTAAATGTTTGGATGACTAACTGACTCACTAACTGCCTGACTGACAAACTAATCGAATGACTTACTGACTAACTAATTGACTGACTGACTAACTAATCGAATGACGCACTGACTAACTGATAAAAAGATTGGATGACTAACTACCTTACTGGAAGACTGATTGATGACCCGTCGGACTAAACTATTAACTAACCGACCGACTGACTTGAACTTAACTGAGCAGGTAACTTAACTGATCTGGCTGGGAAGTTTTAATAAAAAGTGAATTTCTCATTACAACAGGAATGGTCTGGCTAATCAAATTTGACAAATGAAAAGCGCCGCAAGTTAACTGAGTAGCTAAATTAACTTAAGCGGGCAGTATCACTTACAATAAACTTGACATCTCAGTTAAACTATCTATGCGACAAATTAATTACCTAAATTCACACCTGAATTTATCACCTAGTTTAAAAAGAATCGCTGACGGTAATCAAAAAACTAGGACTAGGATCACATCTACAGTAATTTGCAAAAACACTTCAATCTACTAAGCACAGAAATGGGCAGCAGCTGACAGCCTTACTCAAATATTTAAGGTGTTGTTGTGATTTTAATTTAGAATTACTTCTGAATATGTATGTTGTAGCATACAAAACGTCAAATTAAGGAATATAAGTTTTTCCAGCAACGGCGGTTTTCCAAATGTTTGTAACCGCCGTTTGCTGAACTTGATGATCCTGCGCGTGTCCCAGGTCAAGCCTGTGACTGCCGATCATTACGTTATAATGAGGTGGCGGACTGTTGATCATGTGGGTGCATATTTCAAAGCGGTTTGCAGCACTATGCAGAATCACGTGATCGCCCTATGTATTTTGTGAGGTAGGCATTCCAAGATGAAAATCCATCATCAAAATGGATGATCTCTCCCCCACCAGGCTGAAACACAAGGTAACTATGTTACTAAAAAAACAACTGCTTTTTTTGCTCTCTCACGAGGTGCAAGTCTAAAGTGGTGCTTATTACGCGAGGAGAAACGGCTGTTTTCGCGGGCTATACGGGCAGTAATTTATACACACTTTTGTAATTCTAGTTACAACCCCGGACAAACCTGTTGAGACAATTCCATCTATTTTCTAACTTTTGCGCCCTACTCCCGTCTCCCCTAAACACAAAAAGTAAACCCCCTCCCACCCCCTATTCAAAATTGCCTTGGTCTAAAAACCAACGTGTATAATTGCCATGCTATCCTAAACAACTTTGGATAAGGGGAGGGGGGAAATCGGGCATTCATTTGGCGGAGGTTTCAGTTTTTGCCGGGATGACAGGAAAAAATAGGCATTTTCGCGATTTGTCTCAACAGGTTTTGTCCGGGGTTGTCTGCGGACTGTTTTCGGTATTCTTTAACTTTCATAGCAATTACATCAAGTTATAGTCCTCTTTTTTGGTCAAATTGATAAAAGCCATTGTTTCAGCATACTTTTTTTTTCTTTTGAATGCGAAATAAAATTTTTACAGTAAAAATTGAAGTTATAACATTCTGATTACATGATCTGTCAAATTACATTTACTCTGTGACGTTACCATGGGTATGACTTTCAACGGCTTACGTGTCCGTAGACGCTTTGCCTGCTCAAATGATGACATTGATATGTAATCGCCAGACAAAATGGATCTCTCGAGAACTTCCGATATTGACGAATCATTTTCAGGAGGCTCGGAAATATCGCATGAATCACTAGGTGAGAGGAAGGTTAGTGCGCTTATCTGGTCACTTCCAGTCACGCGAATTTGGCTCATTTTTCCATCCCGCGAGTAATTTACCTTAGCAGCGATTACGTCGTTCGCCAAGTGCAGTGCAAAGATCCTACACTTAATAGGACAACATTGCCTCAGTTACAGCAAATGTGGAATTGTGTACGAACGGGAATGTGGTATGATGGATCTCTCATTTCTCCACGCAGATCCCGCGGGAACAACAACGGGAAATCCCTTGATGTGTAAGGTGCTTTGATGAGCTTGTTATGCAACAAAAACGGAGTAGTCTTTCTCGCAGACGGTTACGGCAGAGGAAAGAAACATCGGTTAACGACGGTTAACAACTTTTCTGAAGAAAAACAACAGTTAGACTATCAGTTTCCTTTAATATATTCTGTTAACCGCTGTTAACCGTTGGAATAAACATGTGCGTGCCTGTTAATCGTTTATTTCAAGCGTTTACGGTGCTTTCAAGCATTTTCCGTAGTATATAGAACCTTTTTGTTGATTTTCAAGCATTAAAAAGACCTTTTTACTTAAGGGAAAACTTTTTGACACTGGTGTAATTGTCATGAAATGCGCTGTATTTTTTGCCACAAAAGAACTGCCATCGCGTGACAACATGTTTTCGCTGTATTTGTGATCAAAGAGGCATTGCTTTCCCTACACATCTTATTTCTACCCATTTTGGAAGTTCTTCATTAATATTTGTTCTTTTGGCCTTGGCTGTCATAGAGAAATTAACGGTTTTATCGGCATGGATTCTATTATTTTGTCAAGTAGATAATCTGATATATATGTTGTAAATTGTTCTAATTATACACTCATTTAGGTATAAGGTTTCTGATTTATGGCTAAATTTCTAAGTGCATAATTAATGCATCCTAATTGTTTTTATGACACCTTTATTCGTAATCACAAAACTTTAGACAATTACAACATCTGTGCAAAAAATCAATACCCTCCGACCTTACATTGCGAAGTTACAGCGATTTGAACAACTGGCCTTCACAGACAACCCCAGACAAAACTGTTGAGACAATTCCATCTATTTTCTAACTTTTGCGCCCTACTCCCGTCTCCCCTAAACACAAAAAGTAAACCCCCTCCCCACCCCCTATTCAAAGTTGCCTTGGTCTAAAAACCAACGTGTATAATTGCCATGCTATCCTAAACAACTTTGGATAAGGGGAGGGGGGAAATCGGGCATTCATTTGGCGGAGGTTTCAGTCTTTGCCGGGATGACAGGAAAAAATAGGCATTTTCGCGATTTGTCTCAACAGGTTTTGTCCGGGGTTGTAGATGTTTTTTCCTACAAAGCACTCGCGTCTGTACACAGCTGGCTAACCACTCGCTAGCCTGCTCCAGGCGTTCAGATTCAGAAAAACGTCAGTTAAAGAGTGAATTCGCAGTTTTTCAAACTTCATTAATATTATCCCACTTCATCCAATTTGTTAAATGTTGGGGAATTTTTTAGGACTTAATTCTGAACGACTGTATCTAAGATCAGAAAAAGAGAAACAAAATTGTTGTTCACGTCCTCTATAGAACGTGAAACTAGACGTTTCACGTTGTAGTCGTGCAACAACGGCAACGACATGTACAAAAAACCGTGATACACGAGTAAAGTTGTTGTTTTGCTAATTTAAACAAAACAAACAACAACAACAAATTTTATTGAAAATTGGAACATAACTAATTACATTACTTTCCCACCCGCAAATAGCTTATGAACTAATCGAGGCGGGGGGAGCTGAAGACATATTACAAAACAAGATTTATATATAGATGGACTAAATAACAGTGAAGACACTACAATACAGTAAATAGAATTTAAGCTAACTTAAAACCTAACGCTTTTTCGCCGTTCTTGTTGCCGTTCTCGTTGTCATTGCTTAAGCTACAATTTAAGCTCCTTAAAACTGCAAACTCTATGACGTCAGCAGCCAACAGAACACCTCGCGACATTGACTACGTCCTCGTTTATTATGAACTTTACGATCCGACAACGCGACGGCAACGAGAACGTCAAAAATAACAATTGGTTTAGTAGACAAAACAACAGCTTTGCGCGTGCATCTCATATTTTTGTACATTTCTTTTCCGTTTTTGCTGACTACGACGGACGTGAAACTGCCTGATTTTAGTTTTTAGGGAAGACGTAAACTAGCGACGACGAATTTTACTCTCTCTCAAAACTTGAATATAGTTCTTGAAAATTCAACTCCGGGAGGGCTCGCCTACATTTGACAAAGTGAGTGAGTTGGAATAGTTGCGATAAAGACCGAAACAACGCAAATTCATTTTTGAAGCGACGTTTTCGCTGCCTTCGCGTCGTCCGATCGTAAAGTTCCTATTAGGAAGCTTAAGGAACGACGACGGCAACGGGAAAGAGAACGGCAAAAAAGCAATAGGATTATATTAGTAAAACAACTTTGCACGTGCATCGCGCTTTTTCGTAGATTTCTTTGCCGTCTTTGCACGACTACAACGTGAAAGTCCCTAATTTCACGTTTTGTCGAGAACGGGAACACAGAACAACAAATTTCTTTTTCTTTTCCTGAACTTTGATACAAACCTTTAGAAATCAACTCTAAAAAAATCACCAACATTTGACGAATTAAACGAGATAGAATAAGCGCGATAAAGTTTGAGGAAGCGCGACTTTTCCAGTGACGTTTTCGTAGCCGTCACCGTCCTTGTTGCTTAAAGCTCTCTGATTGAATCTTATTAAGTCTGAGTTCTAACTTTGATTCCGCACCAGGAAACACTCACAAGTGATAAGTTTACACAATAACGACGGCGTCACCAACAGAGACATCACGGTGAAAACAATTCTTTCACGACCAAGGTTTAAAGCCTTGAATTTCTAGTTTAAAGAACTAAGATCACTAACTTATTTCACTAACCAGCGAGTCATTGTCTTCAAAATATTTTATGACGCTGACTTCCTCAGGTCTTCGTGGGTGAGTTGTTTTGATGAGGTCAGATGTTCTGAAAGCGGAATAAACACGCAGTTTCTTTATCCTCCATTGTCAAAAACCACGAAGTCCTTTTACAAAAGCGACGGGATTTAAATTCAATGCTCAGTCTTGCTGGTCTGTTTAGTTTTTCTCGAAACTCCTCTATAAAAGAAAGTATAACAAGAGTGTGTAAGTTTATTTTGACTGCACAACTAATGGCACATAACAGTTCGGTTTAACAAAATGAGAAGCAAAATCAGAGAAACCACTGCAGTCTCCCCCATTTTTCTTCCCCCTGTCACCCCATCCAAATTATGACGGTGTTTTAGCCAAGGGAAGAAGAGAGCAAAAGAGGAAGCGAGTAAAGGGAAGAAGCCCTGGCAAGTATACTTTAACTGGACTGTTCCAGCCTTACAACAGCTTGATTTATATAATCCAATCAACAACCTTTTTCGGTCATGCAGTTGTTCCTCCTTCTCCCGCCCATCTCTCCCCGATCGTCTTTTCAAATCCCTCTCTCATATACCATCCTGAAACTCAGGTTAGCGGCTTCGTTGCTTGCTTCTCGCTGCAGGATGTTTTCCCGTGTGGCTTCTAGTGAACATGTACGAACAGTACGTATGAAAACTAAAGCTCTTTAACTAAAATGACTTGCGATCAGGCTATTTTTTCCGGCTTTCACTGATGATAAGTAGATTTAGTAAAAGACCACAGAGCACGGAATGAGAGTGCTAGATGCATGCAATTCCAGATCAAGGCATCCAAGGGCATGCACCATTGCAAACTTTTAACAGCTCTCTTTTAACTTTTCAATATCCGGCTGCAGTAGATCTATAACGCAAAGAAAATGGTATAATACCTTTTTCAATGACAACAAAACTCTTGGGCTAAATCTCTACGCTCTACGTCAGACAGTGCTATGTGCAAAACACGGTAAGTTGCAGCTGAGGCGTCCCTTCCTTTCCAAGCCATCAGCAATTGGTATGCTTTTTCAGAAAGTCGATCATTGCTACTGTCGTGTTCTGTTATTTGTGCTTCATCGAACTGAAGCCGACGACCAAGTTTTTTCCACTTGTCACTGATTTTGAAGGACAGAAGTTCCAGTTCATCTGGTGTTGGAATGCCATCTTTGATTTCTGTGAAAGGAAAAACTTCCATTTAAAATGACTGAAAATAGTCGATAGCCGATACTAAATGGTGGATCTTGTATCTTCAGACCGACGAAATAAAGTATGCACATGAATGAGACATCCAGAACAAATTTAATGAATGGTTACACAAAGGGCGGTACGAATTCATTAGGACCATGTTCAGAAGCCTGCGTAGCTGGCGGTACGTTTTGGTGTGTTTTATTTTGCTGTTGGCCAGAACCTCTTTAGAACCTGTAATTTGATAGGTTCTTGTTGGCCCGAAGTTCTGTTGTTTCAGAGTTGGGGTTCATTGTTAGTTTTGTTTGGATTAGGGCTATCTGTTGTTTTCTAAACCAATCCTGGGAGCCGTTCTTAGAGCTTCCGGCCCACCCTTATTTTGTGGTTTTGAAAGAAAGAGGTTCAGCCGCGCGAAAGCTGAACCGAGGACGGAAAAGAAAACTATGGGGGAGGGGGCGAGGGGAGAAGGCAAGGTTAGGGTTTGAATCCCAGCAAGCGTTTTTTTCCAGGCTTTCTTTTTGCAACAGTATAAGTTGCGTATTTAATTGTGATGATCTCCTCGGAAGGTCTGTGATTTCTTCACCACGCAGTTCAAAATTGACAGGAAGCTATTGGTGTTTTTGCTTATCAAACCTACTCAGCTTTTTCACGTTCTGCGTTTTCTCTTCATCAGACAGTACATGGTAATGATTGGCTGTGCACAGAGGCTGTGCATGCGTGATTATTTGTAGCAGCTGTGGCTGCTAATGATTCGTGCATTACAAGCCTCTTTCAGGGTTGGTGGACTTCAAAGTCTCAACTACCAAGGCCTAGGCCAAATGACGAACTTTTCATGAGACGAATGAACTCAGTGAGTTAAGTGTATGAAAGGATCGACGTTTGGTTCAGTTGAGTTCGTCTGAATGAGTTTGGATCGTCCAACACTATCAGACGGATAGAACGTCTAAAGAGTGTCTCCGGGACAAACGTCGATTTTCACATGCACGCGACGAAGTAAGCTAATAAATTAACAATTGTATGATAATGCATATTTAGCCTTGTTCGAGAGAAAAATTGTTACAGATCTGATTCAGTTGATTGATTCGACGCGTCCGAAGTTCGACGTCTGACCAAACAGACGATCTTAACTTATTGTGAACGACCCAATTACAGCTTGGTTAGTCTCATGAAAAGTTCAACGACTTCACCGACCACCTATTGGTACAAAAATTGACTGAGGAGCTTCTCAAGACGTTCTTAAGTCACTGATAAGTAACTTGGTAAACGAGTTTGCATGTAAGCCTCCAACTTACTTTTGATAATGCCAGAGTCACACAATGGAAGTGAACTTTTAAACACCGCAATCTCAAAATATTTTACGTTATCCAGGCTGGTTTTTGCCCTGGAGCAGTGTGATGGTCTTCTATACAGCAGCATATAACTTAATTTGACAAAGTTCCAGACTGAAATGTTTTCAGTTTAGTGGCTTCAGCACGCTAAGGACCGAGCTCTGAACGTTTGGCTAAGACACGCCGACCTTATAGACATTAATTATTGAGGATGGACAATGCCTTCTCGAAATGAACTTTAAGGAAATAAGTGAAAATAAAGAAGCAAAACTTACCAGGTTCTTGCGCATGCTCCATCGGACTGTGACGTGCCTGAAAAGGCATAAAAGGTAGAAACTTTTAGCGTACATGCACCCGAATTACCAATCAGGGTCAAATAATTCTATTATCACGAGTATCTACTTGGAGGTTTTACTTAGCAAAACAACTAGTAATGCTGAGACATAAGGTATACGCGTTAACTAAACACCTTCAAAGTACCAAGGGAATATGGCGAGAATTGAGTGTATATGAGTCACCTGATCCTAACCATAGCGCAAACGCAAACAAAAACCTTAACCTTAACCTCTAACCCTCAGTCGATAAGAGTTTGTACAATGTGGCGAATATTACGCGCGCTGTGATTGGTCGTTGCACATGACCTATTAGAGTACAAACAAGTGGATGACGTCACGGGAAAGCTGTTTCCTTTTAGGCCATTGTACATTATGCTTTTGTTTCCCCACTAAAACGCTCCACCTTAATGCTCCATTTTTCCCACGAAAATTCTCGGTCTCAAAACGTCACCAAAAGGTAAGGCTTGGATAATGCTCATCGTCAGAGGCGTTTTCATTAATAATTAATAATAATAATAATTTACATTTATATAGCGCAAATCTCTATATGAATTTATTATTCCACCATTACGTCATTGTACCATATAAGGTTAAGAGAACGCGCAAAATACGAGGCCGTTACGTAATACACTGTGGTGTCCTGCTTTAACCCGTTTACAACAGGGCGAATACCGGCGGATGCAAAAAGAGCAACTATGGCTGAACTGGACGAACTGGCGGACGAAAATATAATGAAAATAGAAGCCAAAATAACATTTTTTTTGGCAGTAGAATAATCAACCTCTCATTCAATGGTTTGGCATATAATACGCGCAAGGATTTTGCTCATTGTTAACATCATTCCTACAGACGGAATCAGGATGTTTTTCACAATTTTTTGTAGTGGAATAATAAACCTCTTATTCGATGGTTTAGCATACAATACGAGCGGACATTTTGCTCATTGCTCGTATTTTTCCTCGCCCCGACTACGCAACTCGCAAAATATCCGCACGTATTATATGCTAAACCATCGAATAAGGTGTATATATTCGGTTGCGCTTTACAATATTGTTATATTAAATTTATGTTAAAGGTGACTAAAGCGTAAGAAACTATTAAAAACTACTGAAAAACTGTTAAAAACTACAATAAAAGCCAACAATTAAATCTATTTTAAAACTAAATTTAAAAAATGAGTGTTAACAGCAGTCTTAAAAGTGTCTAATGTCTTTATGTTGCGAATTGCCGAAGGTAATGCATTCCAGAGATAAGGTGCAGCTGACTGGAATGCACGATCGCCAAGAGTTGGATGAGTCTTAATGCCAGGTAACTCGAGGAACATAGACTCATTTGACCTTAGAGAGTACCTGGAATGCTTTTTGATAGTAATGAAATCAATTAAATAATTAGGAGCTCGACCATATAAGCACTTGAATGGCAAAAGTAGAATTTCATTAACACTTATACGGTAACTTAACGGAAGCCAATGAAAATGGAAAAACAATGGACGTGTAACATGGCAGAATATTGGTGTTCCGGTGACCAAGGGAGCTGTGGCATTCTGTATCCGTTGGAGTTTAATGATATGTAAATTCGGGAGGCCATATAGTAGACTGTTACAATAATCTACTCTACTGGTTATAAAAGCATGAACTAATGATTGGGTGACTGAACGACTTAAATATTTCCTAATTCTACGCATGTTATGAAGATAATAGAAAGCGGATGAGCAAGTTCTGTTGATATGAATTAGCATACTAATTTTAGAATCAAAAAAGGTTCCTAGGTTTCGAACTCACAAGATGGAGCAATTACGGAGTCCCCGACCGATAAGGTGCTAATGTTTCTGACTTTCTGAAGTTGTAGTCGCGTTTCAATCAGAAGACATTCTGTCCTATCCGAATTCAATTTTTAACTTATCCGAATGCATCAATTGACTGATATCAGCAATACATGATTCCATGGCAGTTATAGCAGCGGTCTCCTCCAAATCATTTCCTGATCTAAACACGATATACAGTTGCGTGTCATCTCCATAACAATGGGGATCAGGAAGATGTGATTCGACGATCTTAAAAAGTTTGCTAGCATAGAGAGAAAACAATAATGGCCCCAGACAGCTGCCTTGTGGAACTCCAAATTTAAGATTAAAATTACTCCATAGAACTCCGTCTATATTGATGCGTTGGGTTCTGTTAGAAAGGTACGATTCAATCCAATTAAGTGCAGAGCCTGAAATTCCAAAATCAAACTGGAGGCGATCTAAGAGAATCCGATGGTCCACGGTATCACCGGCAAACGCGGCGCTTAAATCAAGAAGCACTAACAACGTGACCTTCTCATTTCCATGTTCATCAAAATGTCATTCTTGACTTTAAGCAGGGCAGTTTCTGTACTATGGTGCTGTAGATAGGCTGATTGCAATGAAGGAAAAAAATCATGCTCATTTAAGTAGGACTGATTCTAATTAGCTGCCACTCTTTCAGCCAATTTTATACATTTTAAGAGGGTTTAATGCTGACCAAAAAGAAAAAGTGGTATGATATCAATGTATATAACATAACAATCTGAAATCTGAATCTGAATCTACTAACCACAAGTGGAATGTTCTGGATAGGCAAGTGAATTTTACACAACAAACTCTTTCTTCCTGTAGGTGTCAAGGTGTTATGGAACTCTATTTCTGCTGGGTCTTCGTTTCTAACCACACGAACTCGCAATTCAGTCTTGAACTCGTCTTCTAATAACCTGTTCAAATGTAAACCAAAAATATTCATGCTCTAACAACGGTTCTCTTACAGTAAGCTTAATAAATAAAAAAGACAAAGGCCTTACTTATTCAATTTGCATTTCATTTTTTTTCTTTCTCGGCTGGGATAAATTCGGAATCAACTAGATAGGCAAAAAAGTGCCGCAAACATTTTTACTCCCTATTGGCGTCCTACAGTTGCCTACAGCATGAGGCCGGTTACTTCGTTAAAAATTAAGAGACATCGTCTTTACGTGTAATAGGGAGTTTACGCAACGACGACAGCGACGGCTCCGAAAACGTCACTTCAAAAGTGAATTTGCGCTGCCTCAAACTTAATCGCGCTTATTTCATCTCGTTTAATTCGTCAAATGTTGGCAAATTTCTTTGAAGTTGAATTCTAAGGGACTGCATCAAAGTTCAGGAAAAGAAAAAGAAAGTTGTTGTCTTTTGTTCCCCATCCTCGACAAAACGTGAAATTAGGCACTTTCACGTTGTAGTCGTGCAACGACGGCAGAGAAATGTACAAAAAAGCGTGATGCACGTGCAAAGTTGTTGTTTTGCTTGTCTAAGGGCCTGTTTACATGGAGGTGGGGGACCCCAAGCAGGTGAGGTAAAATATGGCGGGTCACCCCACCTATCATGTAAGCGTGATCAAATTAAAATGAGAGATTATATGAACAAACGGGTCACCCCACCTCCATGTAAACAGGCCCTTAAACCTATTGCTTTTTTGCCGTTCTCGTTGCCGTTGCCGTCATCGTTGCGTAAACTTCCTAATATTAGGGAGCTTAAGCAACAACGACGGCGACGGCTACGAAAACATCACTTAAAAAGTGAATTCGCGCTACTGCAAACTTTATCGCGCTTATTCCAACTCGTTCAGTTCGTCAAATGTTGGCATTTTTTTCTGGAGTTGAATTCTAAAAGACTGTATCGAAGTTCAGGAAAAGAAAAAGAAAGTCGCTGTCTTGTGTTCACGTCCTCCACAAAACGTGAAATTAGGCATTTTCACGTCGTAGTCGCGCAGCGACGGCAACGAAATGTACAAAAAAGCGTGATGCACGTGCAAAGTTGTTGTTTTGCTAATCCAAACCCATTGCTTTTTTGCCGTTCTCGTTGACGTCGCCGTCGTTGTTGCTTAAGCTCCCTATTGCACCAGCGCGTGCATCACCCATACGTCACACGTGGTATTAAAAAAGAAAATCTTCTTAAAACCACCGATTCGCACGACTATTCAATTACAAAGCGGTTCCACTTGGAGATGGGGTGAGGGGCGGAATTTGTGTGGGCGCTCCACGTTCTTGAATTGGTATGTGATCTATTTATAAAAAAAGCTTACCTGAGGAAAATATCATTCACGCCCTCATCATCAAATGGACATATTCCTCCTGATACAAAAACAAATGCTTTGTCCTCTCCTGGTATCATATCTTGCATTGAGCTGCCGTCAACATATGTTATGTCTCTTTTTTCAAGATCTTGTATCACCCCATTTGTGAGGTGTGCATGACAACAAATAAGGCGCAAAATTTCGGGAAAATCCGGACGAAAGTAAGCAAAGAAACTTGCTGGTCTGCACAGCTCTCTTGCCAATCGGGTCATGTAGTCAATAATTCCCAGTCTTTCAACACTGGAGTTTTCTTGACGCCAGTCGAGAAGATAGGAATATCTGGAAGAACCAAAAATTAAAGAGTGAGAGCCAGATTGAAGGGAGTTACTATGAGCCTTAAAATGGCACATATAAAATTTGAGCAGAGTGCTACGTAATCGCCGTCTGACACAACTATTCAACTTCGAAAAGCAGTGCGAGTACCGTTTTGTAAAGAAAAACTAGTAAGAGCTTATCTTAACGTGTTGAGTGAAAAAAAAAGCGAGTAAGCACTTCGTCCATGAACCGTCAACCTCTTTTCCACAACTAGAGTGAGAAGAAGTGAGAATATGCTTGAGTTTTATTTTTGTGCAAACCACCTGAGTAATATCTATCCTGAGTAGGATAAAGCATGAGAAATAAAGTTTTAAAAGAAAAACTGTCATTTTTGGTAACTTCCTGGATGCATTTTACGGAATACCTAAACACCCACTCCTTATTAAACTGAGCTTCAAACAAATCCAAAACCCTAAACCTAAAACTGTCCAATACGTTGCATGGGGAGTTTAAATTCTGAGCTTATCATTTTTCGAAAATGGGAAACTATAAAAGCCTTTCTTTAATCCATGTTGCGACTTGGTCCATCGCATACCAGTCTACAGGTTTAAGTCACGCAAACCGAGCCTGTACACAGACCATCGATCTTCTGCTTCGTAGATCGTCGAGCTCACATGTGGAAATAAAAACAGCGGGGGAATTTATTGTGTTCAAGCGCAAGGGGTTGGGGGTGGAGGTGGGGAAAGGAGGAAACAGGTGTGCGTTGTCGAAGAGAAAAGCTCTGTGGATCAAACAGCATCCAACACCATAAAAGCAGATCTACCACATGCTGCGTCCAACAATGTTGAATGAAGTTGGACTAACACTTAAAAAAGTCCATCTATTCTAAATAACTGAATGATTTTTTTCGCGTCTTTACCCAGAAAATCGTTGGACCTGGATCCTAACAAAACTTCCGTCAAACTGTGCAGGTTTCACCAGATCAGTGAGCTCAGTCCATTCCTTTTTTTCCTCCTCGCAATTTAGGAACAACACTCTCACATGGCATTTAGTGGGATCTGGGTTAAAGTCCTGCCGGTCTCGAAGAGAAACTGGTAGCTGAATGGTTACAGGCCTAAAGAACTGGGCAAGCCCAAAGCATTTAATCCGCAGAATAGGTCTAAGAAATACACCTTCCTCTTCAAATTCTTTATTTGGAACTTCTTGCACCTGTACCATTTAAAAGAGTAATCATCAGCAGTTAATTTCATGTATTCTTTAGGCTTTAAAATTGACGTGGATTCCCCACAAGTTAAATAAAAAGTTAACGTAATTTAAGTAACAAAAAGTTCTCTACAAATATTCAGTAAACGATTTTTCAGTCAAGCCCTCTAGACTGGTCATTATTAGATCGTCATTTTTTTAAAAAAACCGTATCACTTTAAAAAGCCTTTATGATAATACTTTCTTTATAAATGGGCCTTTTGAATCACACCAACCTTGAACTCCAGGGTAAACGGTGACTGGGGTGCAACAGCATTCTCGGGGATTGTCACCGTCACGCCTGGATAATCAGGATGAATGAATAAACCGCCAGTAGATGTGATGGTGTAAGGCGGAGAAGATTTGAGACGGCAAACCACTGCATAAGTTGAGCACTCATTTATGTCAGCTTGAGCAACGGGAAAGAAAAGGTCTGGTATATCCTTGTGAGAAGGGCGCTCATCTTCGATATCTGTTACCGCCAAAAAATACAAGTAAAATGTCACTATCATAACTAGTAATAGCTGACACTAAAGCTGCCCCCGTTCTGTATATTGTCGGTCAATAGTATTTCTTGCTGGTTGTGTGGGTCTTTGAAATATACCGATTCATAATGAAGATTTTCACACATATTCCATACAATAACAGGAAACGCAAGGTTCCATGCACAGTTTCAGCTCGATTTACACAGCTTTGACCAAAACATTCTCATTTTCGAGAAAAGTTTATTCTAAACCATAAGAAAAGATTTAATTAGAAGTTGAATTTTTCGCTATTTCTCTTTCACTTTTTACATTCAGTTCATGTTATGTGCCGGAAAGTAAGCCTTAGAAATTAAAAGGACGTTTGATCGATTCACGATCGCGCATTCTAGTCTTATTTGAAACTTTATTACCCCCGCAGGGATTTCGCCCAGAAGGCGAAATCCCCAGGAGGCACTCTAGTAACTCGCGCGTATATTAAGGAAAGTACTTACAGTTGAAATATACAGCATACAGTCAATGTAGAAAAAATCTCGATTTGCTTGAACAGGGGCCGCAAGGAATCGGTAGGTAATGATGACGTTTCTATTGTTTGCGCCCGCAAGTACGAAATGGTTAGGATGACGTAAAGACAGAACATCCCCAAGGGACCGCTTTAGCAGATTTTTTGACATTTATTGTGCAGTCATACTTGGACACTCTTTTGCGTTACGTGCTATCAGTGACATCCTGTGGAGCAGAGTTGTGGACCAATTTTAACGACACTCGTTAAGCGAAGAAGAAGTTATAAGGCGCGTATAACTGTGTTATGTAAACACTTGGAGAGTTTGCCTGACACGAGTTCACAAATCTTTCATTCGAAACCTTGCCTTGACACGCTTCGGAATAAGACTAAGCCCCAAACAAGCAAGACGAGTGAACAACGGCTAGCTTCTCACTAGCAGAACGATGGAAGATTACAGAAATTCGCCGACAATCAAATTCTGTGCTGACTTATTCCCTGCTCACAGATGTCCTTCAGCTATCAAGTTTAAAATAAGAGTAGAATGGGCGAGTGTGAATCGATCAAACGTCCTTTTAATTTCCAAGGCTTCCTTTCCGGCTACTAAAATGAACTGAATGTAAAAAGTGAAAGAGAAATAGCGAAAAACTCATCTTCTAATTAAACCTTTTCTTATGGTTTAGAATTATAACTATTCTCGAAAGTTAGAATGTTTTGATTAAAGCTGTGTAAATCGAGCTGAAACTGCGCATGGAACCTTGCATTTCCTGTATTTATCTCACCTATTGTATGAAATATGTGTGAAAATCTTCATTATGAATCGGTATATTTCAAAGACCTACACCACGAGCAAGAATGCTATTGACCGACAATATACAGAGCGGGGCAGCTGTAGTGTCAACTATTACTATTAACGGAAGGACATCTGTGAGCAGGGAATAAGTCAGCACTGAATTTGATTGTCGGCGAATTTCTGTAATTGTCCATCAATCTGCTAGTGATAAGCTAGCCGTTGTTCACTCGTCTTGCTTGTTTAGGGCTGAGTCTTATTCCGGTCAAAGAGAGAGAAAGAGTGTCTGGCAAGGTTTCCAATATAAATCAAAGATTTGTGAACTTATGTCTCGAAAACTCTCCAAGTGTTTATATATACACAGTTAAACGCACCTTATAACCTCATCTGCGCTTAACGAGTGTCTTTTGGTCCATAACTTTCAAAACAACTGCTCCACAGAATGTCACTGCGTAACGCAAAAGAGTATCGAAGTATGACTGCACAAAAAATGTCACAAAATCTACCTGAGCGGTCCCTTCGGGATTTTCTGTCTTCACGTCATCCTAACCATTTTGTACTTCCGGGCGCAAACAATAGAAACGTCATCATTACCTACCGATTCCTCGCGGCCCCTGTTCGAGCAAATCGAGATTTTTTCTTGTATACTGACTGTATATTTGAACTGTAAGTACTGTCCTTAATATACGCGCGAGTTACTAGGGTGCCTCCTCGGGATTTCGCCTCTGGGCGAAATCCCTGCGGGGGCAATAATTATGCTCTTTTTTTACTTCCTTTGCCATATAAAAAAGACTGACGTTATAGAAGTCAAGACTGGAAACAGGCTTCAGATCGAGAGCAATCGCAACTTCAACACTTAATATAAACACTATCTCAAAAAAAACAACAACAACAAACAAACAAACTCTTCAGCAATACGAATGACGTACACCGCCTCCCGCTTAGGGAAACAGGGTCTGCCAAACGGTTATCTATAATTACCATAAGTCTACTACATAGACAAAATTTCTATACCTTGGCGACAGCCTAAGTTCTTGGTTCCACTCACGTCTTCCCATTCATTGGTCTCCTTGTTGATCTGCCGTTTTATCACCACTTCGTAGCCCCGTAGGTTCGGTGCGCTGTGAGAAAGTGACAAAGTCACCATGGCATTGAAATGCAGGCGTTGGCCATCGTGGGAAGATATTTCAATAACATTGCTGACAATGGCCTCGTGTTCCTGCAGCGGGGGTGAGCAGAGACTGGATTTCCATCTGTAGACCACTATTGACGTAGGCTCAGACACAGCATTTGGATGGAATATGAGATGGACAGCCCCTAGTTTGAGGGCCAAGCGGGTACCTTCACTTGCCACTGTTTCTCTGTAATGAACCAAAATTTTGATAGTCGGTTGTTTTCAAAACATAGCTTTCACTAGTTAAACGTTCAAGTAAAATCTACAATAAATGAAGAATATAATTAGTAAAGCCTTTTGGGGGGGATGGGGACAGAGACTGGACAATAACGGTGGCGTTCTACGAAGTGCAGGGGTCAATGCTAGTCTTCCTCTTTATGACGAGTTCAAGGCAAAAAATCGTAGTACTGAAATTTAAATATAATACAATGTTAACTATATCATTCAACATCAACTCTTAGCTGCTTTTCCAAAATTAGGATACCTTACCCTTAGCGTTGAGCAAAGAAACTATTGTAAACAAAGTCTGTAATAGCCTTCCACGCAGGCGTTTTTAGGGAAGCTCTTTCATCCCTCCCCACAAACGCCTGCTCAACCGAAGACAACATTCCTTTCCCAGATTTAGCCAATCATATTATACTTTCCAAATTCTGAAAAGTTGACCTCGACCACAGGGTAATCAAATAATTACTCGATCTCAATGAAACACAAGGAAAGCCTTCTGACCTCTAATAAATGTTATATTCAGAGCGGCAAAAGTAAGGTTTAGTCAAATTTTAGCGAAGAAAAGAAAAGGAGGAAAACGGTAAATCTAGGGTCACGTTTTAGTCATGTTTAGCCTGTCAACACTCTATTCAAAACTGTTGATTGGTCACTTACCACGCAAATAAAACAATGGGAAAGGAATGTCATTTTCGGTTGAGCAGGCGTTTGTGGGGAGGGATGAAAAACGAGCTCCCCTAAAAACGCCTGCGTGGGAGACTAAGTCTGTAGTTGTCCAATTAAAAACAATTCTCTATTTAAAAAAAACATAACATTTAGTAAAATTTGACTGCGACGTTCAGTCGGATGCTTGTCCGCGATGTATAATTATGCTTACTGTTACGGTGTGCGAAACACTTTTCAAACTGCGGGGTCTTCGATGAGACTAGTCAGATCATCTTTTAAACAAAATAATAAGGATACTGAAAAGAAAGTAATGTACTCCCAACAAGTTTCGCACACGCTGGAAATTCAAAACGCCGGATAAAATATAGGCTTTTTGCCCTTTAGGCAAAACTTATGTCGTTGATGTAGAGTGCACACGGCGAACTCAACCCGTGCAAAAAATAAAAGACATTAAAAACATTTGGCCCGGTCCACATGTATCCAAGCCTGCAAGAGCAGACACTCTTTTCGGCTCTTTGAAAAAGCATCTTTTTTCGTGGAATTAGTCCTCCGGCTACAGATATAACTGATATCAGAATTAAACATGCTTTAAAACGCAACTTTTTAAATAACGCTCTCCGGAGAGGAAAGGTCGATTTCCCCGATCACTGTTCTGGTGTGGAAGGATGAAAAAGGAAAGCTATCTAAAGTAAGACTTCACGGTATCTAATCTCGCGCAGAACAAGAATGTTTCACTGCCGCTTTCTTTTTTTTTAACAAGTGTAGCATATCTAAGTTAACCTCCCTCTTTTTGAGTGAAATGTTCAAGCTTGTTATTTCTGACTACGAGTTTATCCGTAGGGGTTCGTTTATCACCAGTTTCGAAAATCGAAGCGGTTAAATGACTCACTAGAAGTCGACAAACAACGCCTCAAAGGTACCTTTACACAAATGAAATTTGTAAGTAACTTTTCACTGCCATTGCCGCCATCGGAGGTTCCACTGAATTTTTATACTTTAAACGGTACTTACCTTTTGATGACAATTCTGTTTTCGCTGACATAAGTATTGTCTTCAACTTCAGTTTCACCTTCAGAGAAATGAAAAATCATGTTGAATGGTACAAATTTTGATTGATCGTATTACTTTTGGTTTTTCGCTGTCGATACCTTTTAAAGATTTTAAATGTTAACAAGTGAAATAAATGGAAGCTTTGAAAAACTTCACTGGATATCAACAAAGACTTTTCCCCACTAGCGACTTAAATAAGTGGGTCCGAGGGGGTACTCCTGATCTCAAGTGAAGGGCGTGATTGAAGGATTTTTTGGGGTTTGAAATTTTCGATTCCGGGATTTTTTTGGTTAATATTTCATTTACGTGGGGATTTTTTGCGTACTCAAAACAATTGGAAGTTGTCATTCTTATGTTATTGATGAAACAGAAGATGTGTCCCGAGTGGTGTTTGGGTTTTGTTGGACACCCTAGGCTTTTTTGGGGGGGCGGAGGGGGGTGATTTTGTCCCCATTCGATCATCCTGTCACTTGAAATCCGGACTACCCCACTTGAGAACTGGGTGTCAAAGAAGGAGTTGCTACATTTAAAATAACACAACTTGCATTTGCCCAGTTAAGGCAGTAATCCTAACTACAGTGGTAATTAGACATTTGTACGGTACGTCAGCCAGAAATTAGGAATGGCTTTCATATGATGTTAAGAATTCGCAAATCTCGAAGGCTGTTATCCACCTAAAATCCTCCTCGATCTGCAAAATTCTTCATATCATACTCAACCTCATTCAATAATCAGGGGCATCCAATGATTGTTTTCTGTAAAATATTTGTTCGGAGAAGCCAAAATTACCCAAAATTTTCTATAGCTTGAGGAAGGCTAAAAATTTCTTCACTCCATTCACTTACAATTTTCGAAGCGGCTTATACCTAATAAATTCCCTAAGATTTTGTAAAGTTTGATTTTGCGCATTTCACTCCCCAGGTTAAGATATGTTTCTCGTAGAAAAAGGGATCGAACCGAAAATTTTCGGATTCGAAAATATGATGGAGAGAGGAATTAGACAAATTCTTACTTTCGTAAAACTTAAAATTGCATCTGAATTAATACTGAAGCCCTCGAATTTAAGTTGCCCTTGGATGACCGAACAGATTCAAATCAAATCCGATTGGAATTTATTTCTAAAGATCAAAGAGTACTCTGGATAGCCTAGAAAGTGTGTTCAATGTATGTAAGAGGAAACCGTCGTTGGGTGCCACTGAGTAATTACTAAGTAGCCCATTCGAAGCAGTCTCTTTTGCTGGGAAACATATTAGATCACGCTAAGTTATCCGGGGACAGTTATATGCGTAAATCAACCGCTAACCACACGAGACCTGTTTTTGAAAACCAATAATCGTTGTTCTACTCGATAACTGACTGTAAAACGTAAAAAATACAAACTATTAAAACGCTCTCACTTAACATCGCCCCAGTGACATTAAAAGAAAATCAACGGCGAAAAGCAGCTGTAAAAAAGTACTATTTTTCTCAAGTGCACATTTCCATTTGCTTACAATGCAAAAAGGTGTTGGGTAAAATATTTACATCCTGTTAAAGCTGTGATCGAAAAAACCTTTGTTCAGAAATTAGAGAAAATAATGTCTTTCCCTTCATCTTGTAAACTGGGCAATAAACAGAGGTCATTAGTAGACGGAGGGGGTGGGGGGGGGGGGAGGGATGAAGGAAAACTGATAACGTTTTTGTTGAGAAAAAGAATGGCATTTCCTTATTAAGTAAAAATGATTTTTACTTCATGTATTTATTTCAAATGTTTACTGAAAAAAACTAATTTTCAAGGAGTGTCCCAAAAAATTAAATTTCGGACGAATCTTTTCCTCACTTATGCTCAGCGTAGTGAGTAGTTTCAGTATAAAGGAAAGTTTAATTTGGCCATTTCCAATTTTGCTCGCGAGCCTTATTAAAAACAAAGATAAAAAACAATGGCACTACTGAAATATTTCGCATCTATAAATAATAAAAGTACCCTTCTAATAACTTAACGACAATTTCACCTTTAATAAACATACCGATCACTCCTTTTATCTTCATCTCAAGAAAATGTTTTGCATCAGAAGTTAAAGGATTACCAGTCACATTCAGCCTCCTCAGCTCCTTTAAGTCACCAATCTCAGATGGCAGTTCTGTAAGCTTGTTATAAGACAAGTCCAGATCCTCAAGCTGCTGCAGCTTCTGTATACTGGTAGGTAAACTTACCAACTGGTTCTTACGCACATTCAGCGTCCTCAGCTCCTTTAAGTCGCCAATCTCAGATGGCAGTTCTGTAAGTGTGTTACCAGACAAGTCCAGCCACTCAAGCTGGTTCAACTTCTGTATACTGATAGGTAAAAAAACCAACTGGTTCATACTCACATTCAGCGTCCTCAGCCCCTTTAAGTCACCAATCTCAGATGGCAGTTCTGTAAGCTTGTTATCAGACAAGTCCAGATCCTCAAGCTGCTCCAGCTTCTGTATACTGGTAGGTAAACTAACCAACTGGTTCTCACTTTCATCCAGCGTCCTCAGCTTCTTTAAGTCACCAATCTCAGATGGCAGTTCTGTAAGTTTGTTGGAAGACAAGCGTAGAATCTCAAGCTGCCTCAGCTTCTGTATACTGGTAGGTAAACCAACCAACTGGTTCTTACTCACCATCAGCGTCCTCAGCTCCTTTAAGTCAGCAATCTCAGATGGCAGTTCTGTAAGTTTGTTACCAGACAAGTCCAGATCCTCAAGCTGCTTCAGCTTCTGTATACTGGTGGGTAAACTAACCAACTGGTTAGCTCTCACATTCAGCGTCCTCAGCCCCTTTAAGTCACCAATCTCAGATGGCAGTTCTGTAAGCTTGTTACCAGACAAGTCCAGATCCTCAAGCTGCTTCAGCTTCTGTATACTGGTGGGTAAACTAACCAACTGGTTAGCTCTCACATCCAGCGTCCTCAGCTCCTTTAAGTCACCAATCTCAGAAGGCAGTTCTGTGAGTTCGTTTTGATACAAGTAGAGTCTGACAAGATTTTTCAGCTTGTGAATACTTGTTGGTAATTCAGTCAGGTTATTGTAATCCAGCTCAAGTTTCTTCACTTCAGTCAGTTCAGTGACTGCATCAGGTATCCTGGAGAGTCCTTTTCCACTTAGATCCAAACCTACTCCTCCAAGCCAAACTTTAACATAGGATTTTAATTCTGCACTGGAATAATCCTCCATGTTTCAAAATATTAAATAAAAGTATCCTTGTCCTTTCTTTGTAATCTAAAACAAAAATAATAAAAATAGTAATTAGCAAATTAACGTTATTATTGATCACCCCTGACAGTTTGTCTTGAATAGGTGAACTTTAAAGAACAAAAAGGAAAAGAAATCTTTAAGGTTCAGAAAGTGCGTACACATGTAAATTTAACGTGTTTGCAACATAACGTTATTCATCATATTATTTTACTCAAAATATTTCTCCGTTTCTGATTGGCTCGAGTCCCCTGGCCAACTCCTCACAACCAGCTGGCATTGACCAAGGGCCTATCTGCAATAGCAAAAAAGCTGTCTTAGACAAAGTTTTTGTCATCACCAATGCTTTACAAATGCAGATAGTTTTTCGCGATTTACAAATTTTGCCCCAGAAGGAATAATCTGTGACCTCTCACGCGAAAACGTACACTAACGGCTTCCCGTTTTCGAACGGAAATCCGTTCACAAGCCGTTTCTCATCCGTTCAGAAAAAATTTGCATCCGTTCGAACGGCTTGGGCGATCCGTTTAAAAAGGAAGTCAAGCCGTTCGAACGGCTGTGTCATCCGTTCACAAAAATTGCCCAACCGTTCGAACGGCTAGTGTACCCGTTCGGAAAAATTTGCATCCGTTTGAGCGGTTTGGTCATCCGTTCACAAAAATCATCCATCCGTTCGAACGGCTTGTGCCATCCGTTCAGAAAAATTGTCCATCCGTTCAAACGGCTGTGGCACCCCATCAGAAAAATTTGAATCCGTTCGAACGACTTGGTCATCCGTTCAGAAAAATTATCCACCCGTTCAAAACTTCAATCAGTTGGAACCGTTCATTCAAACGCCTTGGATCCAGCCTAGTCCCTAGGCGTTCTCTCTTGCCCCGTTGTCCGCGCGAAGTCTGGGAAAGAGCGGGTGGTTCTCGGTGACGTCACAGCTCACGGTCGAGTCCAGGCGAGAACGCCTAGGGACTAGGCTGCCTTGGATCATAATTAATTTTACGCTGTTCAGATGGCCTTATGCAGTGCCTTGTGGCCGGTCGTTTGCGAAACGAAGACACGAAATGGTAGTTTGCGAAATCTTGTTCTAGCCGGCAGGACTTTTCCGCGGGTGGCGGGTGACGGGTGACGGGTGTCGGGTGACGGGTAGCGGGTGGCGGGTAGCGGGTAGCGGGTAGCGGGTGACGGGTGACGGGTGCCGGTTTGCGGGTTTCAAATATATATGAAAATAAAATATTATAATAAAATATTATTATTGATAATGATATAACTGTATGTTGTAATTTTAAAATAATTTCAACGTTTATGTACTAGCTACCAGACTCCAAATAAAAGTATTGTCTTGTTTTGTTTTATCTACTTACGCGGACTAAAAAGAAATCATGCCTGTGAAAACAGTCACCTCTCCTTGCTCCGCACCGCAAGTGACGTTTCGTCAGGCTACACGCGGTGTGTCAAATGAAAACGGACTATGTCAAGCAAGACACAGGGCACTTGTCGATCTTGTTTGTCTAGTTTGCTTTTTCTTCCACATCAAGACGAAAGATGATTGCACTTCCCCAACTGTTTAGCCGTGTTTATAACAGACTGCAAGAGATTCTATTATTCTACACGATATCGCATGCACGAGATAGCTTGAGGAACTCATAAAAATTAAAGTAATATTTATCCTGCGACCAGACAAGTAAGATCGCATTCTCTTCTCGACATGTTTGAACAGTGTCTCAGATTTTTGACAAGTGCGTTTGTTCTTTTGTTATAAGTTGGGATAAACATTGCATTGCCCTTGGGATAAATCTTTGTCAATTTGGTTCCCGACTTGTAGTTTAAAATGAACAAAGTGTCTATTTCGAGAAAACAAGGAAATTTTCCTAAGACTAAAGCAACAAAGCTGTCAATGTTAATGCGTGCCAGAGAAGAAGCAAGAACGTTTTGGACACAGCATGGACCGTTTTCGCCGCATGTGGCGTCTCAGACGCGAATTGATCTCCTTGTATATATATACAAAAAGGATCTGCATTTTTTAAATACTACTCAAAAATACCGATTAGGATGGCAATCATGCCGCATACTAGGGCAAAAACTGAGCTACGACACGGGAGGTCGAATCTCTTGCAGTCTGTTATAAACACGGCTAAACAGTTGGTGAAGTGCAATCATCTTTCACAGGCATGATTTCTCGTTTTTTTTTCCATTTTTAGTCCGCGTATTAAAGTAGATAAAACAAAACAAGACAATAGTTTTATTTGGAGTCTGGTAACTATAGTACGTAAACGTTGAAATAATTTCAAAATTACAACATACAGTTATATCATTATCAATAATAATATTTTGTTATAATATTTTATTTTCATATATATTTTTAACCCGCCACCCGCCACCCGCCACCCGTCACCCGCTACCCCTCACCCTCCACCCGCTACCCGTCACCCGCCACCCGTCACCCGTCACCCGCCACCCGCGGAAAAGTCCTGCCGTGTTCTAGCCGTGCTTCGTTGCTTTCTTGCCGTAACGTAACATTGATCTCGAACCAAGCGTGAAATTCAGAACCGACCGAAAAAAGTCTGACAGAGCGACAAAAATTAATAATGTCTTGTGTAAACAACTGTTTCACCGCAATTGTTGAGTCGAAAACGTGTTCCTCTGATCCCAGGTAAACTACTAAGAAACTATTGGTGGAAGTGGCGATTTAACTCGTTTAATGACCCGCTGCCAGAATCACGGGAAACAGTCTACCAGACGAAGAGAAAAGGGTTTTACCAGTAACACTTTCTGATTTTTATGATCGCGATGAAATTTGAGTCACTTGCAAAACCCGTTTGCCTAGCACGTGACCAACATCTACTCAGTCAACTATCTGATGATTTATTTTTCGTGAACCAAAACTCTCGTCATTTTTTAAAAGGCCTTAGATTTTTTTGCAAAGAACAGTGTGTAACTATGGCATAGTTGTATGAAGCGACGGTTTGTTGCTCGTTGGCCAGCACGGGTGAGAATCACGACAGGAGTGACATCTCGAAGTTTTCTCTGGCGACGTGACGCTACGCAATTAATTAGTTTCAAAACGGTCTGCTATGATGCAAGTTCATTTTCTTCAAAGGCAACGCAGACAAAATTTGTCCTATGTTAATTACTGGACAAAATCACCTAAAAAATGAAAACATGACTTTTTCCTATCAATCATTTGTTGTAAAGGCCATTATCCTTGGTGGCGGATCCAGGGGAGGGGCCCAGGGGGCCCGCCCCTCTCCTAATGTTTCGACCAAATTGAGGCCCGAAAGGCCGAAAAAAAGTTTTTTGGAGACCGGGCTCCCCCCTTATCTTAGGGTCTGGATGACCGCCCCCCCCCCCCCCTTATCTGAAGGTCTGGATCCGCCACTGATTCTTTCCATTAACTTCAACTTCAACTTTCAACTTTATTTATTTAAATTTGAAAATATAGCAAAAGATACATACAGATGCGACGGGCTGTTAATAGTAAATAGTTTTTCAGTGCGTATCAAGTTTTCAAAAACAAAATTGTCACCATGCAAGTTTCAGTTTAGATGTTTCAAAGACAATTCCAAATTTGTCTGCTAGTGTGGAAAGGTACCAAATTTCACAACATTGGTACCAATGATGTCAATTGTATACAGCAGAGGGTGAGACCATCAATTAACCTGATTAAGGACAAGGTTTGGTAAACCGTTTTTGTTTGTGACATCCTCCAAGCCTGCATGCAGATGTCTGCTATTTTCTTTGTTGCATGCGAAAAGATGGAAAACGGAAACTTTTCCGCATGTAAAAAAGAAAATAGCAGATGTGTGCACCCTGGTAACATTGAAGTGGCCATGGTGGGTAAAATTCCGCAGATAATACACAACTGCATAACAACTACCTATCCAATTCTTTTAGGCGTTTCCCAGTTAAGAAATAAACTTTTCTAATGAAAGCTTACATGATAAGGTTATATCATACATTCTGTATAATTTTCTGCTTATCCTATCCTAGCTTATATCTACCCACCAAGATGTGTGATAGGTAATTAATTTACCTGAATTTAGCTACATGTAATACTTTCCTTTTATAAAAATATACCTTTTTTATTTATTTACTTAGAGCCTTCTTTACATTGTACAAGTTTCTGTTTCTCTTTTTTCAAAAGGCATTCCATTTACTGGGTCACATCTATACCTGCAGGAGGTTACAGCTAAGTTAACATCAACTAGTTGCAAGAGGTATTTCAGTATATCTCGTTAACTTAAGGCAAATCAAACATGACATCTTTGAATTATCTTGTAAATTAGTAAGAATAAATACAGCTGTCACCTTCCTTGAGCTTCCAAGGTTTTATATGATTTACTATTTTTACTTTTATTTCTGTGCGAAAACATTTATTTCTGGTTGCCTGGGACAGAAATAATTTAAAACGTGAAAGCTTCCTAGAGAGTTACCTTTTCTACATAAATCTTTTGAGTCTTGAATAACGAAATTTTGTACTTGCTGTCAATTCCACGAATTACTCATTTCACTTTATTGGAAATTATCCACATAGCCTTTAA